GCTAAGAGTGACCAGGAAGTTGTGCAGATCCTTGTGCGCCAACTCCCCGCACGCTACGATGTCGAGAAGCGCACCAGTCTTTCCAAGCGCGATTTAATCCGCGCTGAGTTGCAGGACGTCGTGCGTGGTCGATATGCCACGCTCAACGCCAGCGAGATGAGGGAGCGAGGGTCGGCAGCTTCGACGCCGGCGGTTTCTGTCAACCCCCATGCTCTTGTTGTGGGCCGTGGTGTTGAACACGGCGGCAACGGGGGGAGCGGGGGGGGCGGAGGCCAACGGCGGAATGGCAACAACTGCGACGGCCGCGGGCAACACTGGTCCTCTGGGGGCGGTGTTGTCCAACAGCAACAGCCGCAGTTGCAGGTGCAGCAGTACCGGCAACCGCAACAGCCGCAGCGGCAGATGCAACAGCTGAACCAATAGCCGCAGCAGCAGGTGCAACAGTCGTACCCACAGCCGCAGCAGCAGATGCGACAGCAACAGCCGTACCAACAGCAGTCGCAGATGCAGCCGTACCGGCAGTCGCAGCAGCAGCCGCAGCAGCAGCGGCAGCAGCAACAGCCCGCTTTGAACGGTGTTGGTGGCATCTACGATTGCGGTAGTAATGCCGTGTATCATCAGCCGGAATCACTACCTCCACCTGGCGTGCCGATGGGCACAATGCACAGATGCGACCGCTGTGGACGGCACGGTCACCACGCCATAGATTGCGCCGCCCCCCGCAGGTTCGAGGGCACGTGCGGTGCATGCGGCCAGTACGGTCACATGTGGCGCAACTGTGCCAAGAGCAACCGGCACCCCCACCTCAACGTCGTCACTTCTGCTGGTGCCCTCGGTCCGGAGTACGCGTACACCATCGCGGATACATCGGCCGTCCAATTTCGTGATGTCCCGGCGGCCGATGGCGTATACTACAGTGACACCATGCTGGCCGGCGCTGGTGGCGGCGGCAACGGTGGTGGTGGTGCTGGCGGTGGCGGCAGCGGCGGTGACAATGGCGGTGGTGGCGGTGGAGCGATCGTACAGCAGCAGGTAGTGACACCGGGCGAGCCCTACTTTGATTTTGTCGACATTTTCCACGGCAGCGGGGGCTTGGAAGGTGAAAATGGCGGCGGCAGCGGTGGTAGTGACGCGGCGGGAGCGGGCCCTGAGGCGCTTGGCAACCGCGAGGGTACCTTCGGTGGCGGTCTCTTCGCGATGCACCTTGTCTGTTCCGTTACCTCATCCCCCCCCGTGCGCGAACCATCCGACCTTTTCCCACATCGCCCGGGTTCGACGGTCGTCCTTGGAGACACCGGCGCCGTAGTCCACGTGGTCCCTTCCGGGAAAAAGGTTTAGAACAGGCGCCCGCCGCTCCCGGAGGAGAGACTACTCATGCTTGGCGACGGTAAGCACATCCCGGTAGAGCTTTTCGGTGACTTGGATGTGATCTTCCACTGCCCTGAGGACGTGCGCGTCACCCTGCAGAATGTTGGTGTGGTACCGGGTTTGGCGCTAGATATTCTGTCGCTGAACAAGATCCAGGATCGCCATGAGATCAAGCTTAACCGGCATGGAGCATCGATCTTGGGGGGGCGAGTGCGCATGACAAAATTCCCTCACGGGAATTACATCCAGGGGACTCGCGTTGATCCACTGCCTCAACGCGACTCACCTCCTCAGCCCCCCGCGATGGTTGCGGCGATGCTACGGCCTGGCACGCAATCCAGCATCGACTACAACGCTCTTCACTGCTCCCTCGGTCATGCCAATTCCAAGACGCTGTACGAGACTGCCAAGCAGATGGGTATCAAGGTGACCGGCACTCCGGAGTACTGCGATGGATGTGCGGAGTCAAAGGCGATTCAGCGCTCGCTCCCCAAGTTCATCTCCCCCTCCCGCCGGACGACGCGGCCTCTTGAGCGTGTCGCGATGNACAGCCTGGCACGCAATCCAGCATCGACTACAACGCTCTTCACTGCTCCCTTNTTGCGGCCTTTCGTGCGTGGTATGCCTCCATCAAATCGCTCTTGGCTACTCACGGGGGGCTGGGCTGTGTTCTGACCGACAACGGCACGGAGTGGGTCAACGCGGAGTTTCGGGGGCTGCTGGCGGAGCTGAACATTACGCGGGAGCTCACGGCGGTCGACGGGCCCAAGAGCAACGGTCGTGTGGAGCGGAGGATTGCACTAGTGATGGAGGGGGGCAAGGCTGCGTTTCTGGAGTTCCCAAAGCTTTTCCCCGAAGTTACGTTCCCGACCAAGACGCTGTCCTTCCGGGCCATCTAGCCCGAGGCCTTCGCGTGGATGAACGACTCTCTGAACATCGCAGCGGAGGTGAGCAAGGAAGACAAGCGGTGCCCGGAAGTTAAGCTGTACGGCAGGAGGAGGATCCGAGTGCTTCTGCCGTTCATGATGCCCGGCTTCCGTCACCGTCACCGCCCGTCCAAGATGCACAGCAAGGGGGAGCGGTGCTTCTATCTGAACTCAGGCCAGGATCATTCCTCTACGACGCACAAGATCATCACGCCGGCTGGGGTGCCCACCTANAGGCTTTCGAGGAGATGGGCGTTATTGGGGGTCGTAAGGGGGGATGGCCGGAGGCCCCGCGGTGGCGGCCGGAGCAGCAGCATCGGCGGCAGCTCCAGCGGCAACGGCGTCGATCTCCGGTGGCAGTGTTCCCCCCGCGGCGGCGGCGGAGGGAATGGTTGGAGGCCCCGCGGTGGCGGCCGGAGCAATAACATCGGCGGCAGCTCCAGCGGCGACGGCGGCGGCCTCCGGTGGCAGAGTTCCCCCCGCGGCGGCGGCGGGGGGAATGGCCAGAGGCCCCGCGGTGGCGGCCGGAGCAGCAGCATCGGCGGCAGCTCCAGCGGCGACGGCGGCGACCTCCGGTGGCAGTGTTCCCCCCGCGGCGGCGGCGGGGGGAATGGCCAGAGGCCCCGCGGTGGCGGCCGGAGCAGCAGCATCGGCGGCAGCTCCAGCGGCGACGGCGGCGACCTCCAGTGGCAGTGTTCCCCCCTCGGCGGCGGCGGGGGGAATGGCCGAAGGCCCCGCGGTGGCGACCGGAGCAGCAACATCGGCGGCAGCTCCGGCGGCGACGGCGGCGACCTCCGGCGGCAGTGTTCCCCCCGCGGCGGCGGCGGGGGGAATGGTCGGAGGCTCCGCGGTGGCGGCCGGAGCAGCAACATCGGTGGCAGCTCCAGCGGCGACGGCGGCAACCTCCGGTGGCAGTGTTCCCCCCGCGGCGGCGGCGGGGGGGATGGCCGGAGGCCCCGCGGTGGCGGCCGGAGCGGCAGCATCGGCGGCAGCTCCAGCGGCGACGGCGGCGACCTCCGGCGGCAGTGTTCCTCCCGCGGCAGCGGCGGGGGGAATGGCCGGGGTCCCCGCGGTGGGGGCAGGAGCGGAAGCATCGGCGGCAGCTCCGGCGGCGACGGAGCAGCGGCAGCATGTGCATATGACGGGACCGGAGAGCAGGGTGAAGAGCGGAGCAGCGCGCAGCGCGGTGTTGGCGGAACTTGCGCGGATGGCGGGGGGGCCTTCGCGGGTGAGCACATCTGCGGCACCTGTTGCCACACCTGCCCCCGCGCACTCG